GATAAAAATAAACATGACTTAGCTTATTTAATCCTTTCCTTGTATGTGAATGCCTCCATCCATCAAATATTCATGATTATTATTCAATATGTTTGATGTTATAATTTACATAACAAGCAATTGCATCACCCAAGTAGTAACAATACCAAGGCCATGCATAAATGAAACTTTTAATAATGTGTCACTCGTAAATCTGATGTTGATCACAGGTATCAGATTTAATAAAAATTTCCTATCACAAACATGTGGTTATGTGCTTTCACACGCCTCATAACTGTGGATTTTTCCACAGGCAAGGTCCCCCACATGTTGGAAGGCTTTGGACAAAACATTTCTTTATCCTTCTCTCAGACCAGGCTTGGCTGTTTCCATATGGGCATTGATCACTGATAACTGGTGCTTGTGTGATGATTGCTTTGTGTTATACCCCCCTCTAGAATAAAGTCAGTGTCTGCTACTGATTCAAAATTCTCCAACTTGGAAGGTTGCAACCTGGGTTGCTGTCTTGTTGGTGGCATGTCTACTCACCAACAACCCTACCCCATTTAAATAACAAATTCAGTTGATCAAACAAGAGAAACAGAAAATTTATAAAAATGATTATACAAACAAACATTATTTTACTTTCCTCTTAACATCAGAACTCAAATGTAATTTCAGGTCACAAACCCTGCTCTGAATTGCGACCTTCTGTGCTGAAACAAGCTGCAGATTCTCTTAATATTCCTCCAGAGTTGCAACTTGGTTGCAGAGCCATCTTTAGCTACTACATGATATTCATTTACATTTTCATTTTTTACAATATTTATAACAAATAGAGGTTAAAGAATATTTAAAATTTTATTGAACTGAATTGATAAATATAAAATTATGATAAATTTAATAAAATCAGTTAAATTTATAACACTTTTATTAAAGAAATAAAAATTTTTGTTTCATTTTTTTTACAAAACTGACTTCTTCATCAACTCCCCACAACTATTCTTGATATTGGGAGTTTTTCTTTATCTATGCTTATATGTATATTGTTTTTATATTATCTAAAAAATTTTTTGATTTTTTG